CCACTGGGTCTTCCAAAATAAAAATACGACAATATTAAGAACCTGACATTTTAAGTCTTCCTAAAATTCACAAGAGTTTGGATCTAAAAAGTTACAGATCTTCTTAAGAATTTGAAAGGGATATGGTTTTCTGTTATTTATTAAGGCGATACACATATACACAAATTTTTAAAAATCACTGCGAAGTATAATGTTTCCGCGGACATCAAACTGATTTCAATTTAATGGACGCTCACTCCCACCTTAAGGGTTCCTGAGCCCCACTTCCCTTATCAATTAACCTGTCAGCTTGACAGTCAAGTCTAATTAGTTAAATCCCTTTTTTATGAAAAGATTATGCCTTAAGCGGTCTGCCAGTTCTGGGGCTGTTGGCAACTGCAAATTAATCTCCGCACAAAAGGGACGGGAGGAGAACTCTTACATTCCAATGGAATCCAGAGCTCCTAAAGCTCATCTGTCTGAGTTGTAATTATGTATAGTATATAAAACACAATGAACATGCTGTACACAAATGCCCCAAGCCCCTGGCCTCTTCCTACAGTTATGTTGCCCACGCGGCCCCGTCCCAAAGTGGCTACTTCCCAGTACCCACAAGAAATAGCTGGTAAACTTGACTCATCAGCCAAAGTGGTGTGGAAGCAGACAGAAAATGGGATTATTTTTAATTAAAAAGTCACTGGGTAACAAGTTAAATGCCACTGAGGAAATTCATAATGCAGGATTAATCCTACAAGATGACCAGTATGGAGTCTTCAAAAAGTCGATGTCATTAAAAAATTTTAAAAGGTATGTGGGTGGTGGGATGGGAGTGGAGTGCTATATTGGATTTCAAAAGACTAAAGAGATATATCAACCGAATGTGTGACCCTGATTAGATCCTGGATCCAAAAAAGAAAAGCCCACTATTTAAAAAAAACACACACCAAACACTTTGGAAACAAGCAAGGAAAGTTCAATATGAACTTGAGATAAAATTATGGAATCAGTTAACTTTCTTAGGTGTGATAATGGTATTGTGTTTACACAGAAAAACGCAGATGAATATTGAAGCATCATGATCCCTTTAACTTTGAAATGATTTAGCTAAAAAAAAACCAGGTAAAGCAAATGTGGCAAAATGTTAAGAACTGGTGGATCTAGGTGAAGGGTGTATGGGTGTGCATCATATTCTTCCTTCAGTTTTCCTGTAGGTATGCAATTTTGCAACATGAAAAAATGTGGAGGAAAAATTTAAAGTGAGAAAGAAAGTAGGATATGGTCCAAAAGACCTGGAGTCAATATCTGACTACCTCAAGAGCAAAGTAATGTCCATCTCAGTGTCCACTGTCCCTAGCAGAATGTCTGGCAAATAGGCACTCAAATATCTGATCAATGGATGGATGGATCCATGAATGAAATTCTGGCTCCAACACATGTCAGTCATGTGGCCTTCGGCGAGTCGTCTCCCTGAGCCTCTGCAGAACAGTAGCAATACCAGCTTTGCATGGCCCTTGTACCCATTAGATAGAATGTGTATCAAGGGCCCAGCAGAGCAGTTGGCATTTACTTGGGACTCAGAAAATGGTACTATCATTATTATTATTAGATAATGTTTTAAAAATCCCCAAGATTGAAAAGAGCAAGTGATTTTAGTTTTCAACTGAAATCGTCCAGATTTATGGATGTAATACGATTGCAGATGTCTAACGGTTGTTTCCCTTGTACTTGCATGTTATTTCAAAAACACTCCTTGCTGATCTCTGTCATTAAAGATTCTTTCATTTTATCGGGCACAAGATATTTTTTCACATCATCATCTGACAAAGGACATCCCTTCTACCCAGAGAAATGTGAGCTTGAACCGATTTCCCTAACGTTGGAAGGCTCTTCGCAACAAGCTTTTCTTAGCAATAAGCTATGCCACCTAAAGATGCTGGGTTGAAACCACTTTAAAAGGAATTCCTCAGCTACTGAAAGCCCAGGAGCAATTCTAAGATGGTTAACAAACTCGGGCTTGTGAGAAATAGGAAGAGATGGGCTGGCCCCGTGGCTTAGCGGTTAGGTGCACACGCTACGCTGCTGGCAGCCCGGGTTCGGATCCCAGGCGCACACCGACGCACCGCTTCTCCGGCCACGCTGGGGCCGCGTCCCACATACAGCAACTAGAAGGATGTGCAACTATAACATACAACTATCTACTGGGGCTTTGGGGGAAATAAATAAATAAAAGAAATAGGAAGTCGGGCCGGCCCCGTGGCTTGGTGGTTGGGTGCGCGCGCTCCGCTGCTGGCTGCCTGGGTTCGGGTCCCGGGCGCGCACCGACGCGCTGCTTCTCCGGCCATGCTGGGGCCGCGTCCCACATACAGCAACTAGAATGAAGTGCAGCCATGACATACAACTATCTGCTGGGGCTTTGGGGGGAAATAAATAAATAAAATTATAAAAAAAAAAAAAAAAAAAGAAATAGGAAGAGAGAAGGGATTCCTCGTGGAAGTCTGGTGGCGAGGATAAGGACAGTACCCTTCCAGAGGGGAAGAGGGCTGAAAGAAGGGGTAATGTGTGTGTGTGTGTGTGTGTGTTGAAAAACATGAACAATAAAAAAAATCCTACCGACCACTTTCGTCTCTACAACCCTCTGCGGAAACATGAAGGGAAGCTACTCTGTGCCTGCAGGGAAGGATGCTGAAAAGCTCTGGAGCAGCTCTCTCTCAGCCACTTTCTCCCTCGCTACATGATCCCAACAGATTGATGGTGGTGACTTGTGGCTTTGAGACCAGTGTGAATGACCTGAAGCTCACACCCTGAGGTGTGAGTATTCCGAGGCAGTGGGAGTACTTACCACTTCCTTAAACTCTAGAGTCTTGTGAATATATGAGCAAACAAAATAAGTTTAGGTTTCAGTAAATCCTCCTGTCAGCCTGGTGGCATTAAAAAAAGAAAAGCTCCATGTCGAACTTTGGATCTGCCTGTCATAAACTCAATGGGGTAATGATTCAGATTTTGGCAGGAAAGGCTTTCAGACTGTTTTTTAAACAGGAGGAGGAGCGCAGCAAAGGCAAGAGAAAGAACAGGGAAGATGGCACACGAGGCTGGAGAGGGAGAGGACTGAACTCTTTCATAAGATAAAGGCCAATTTCCTAGGTAAGATCAAGAACTTGACCGCTTATTATTTGGGCACCAAGCTAACTCCAGCTCTTAAATAACACCGTTCTAAATTACCTCCAGGGATGAGAAAATGGTGAGGTAAGAAAAACCAGCAGAAAAACACCCCTGGAATTTCACCTTGTGGGGTGTAACTGGCTTTTCCATTTGTTTTTAAAATTTGTCTTGTAAGAGAATAATAGTGATAGAGTAATCCAGGCTGCTCTAATCCAGGCCCCAGTGGCTATTTGAGGAAAGGATTAAGTATTTCACTCGTTGAGGAGTCCTTTATAACTATGCAACCCTAAACAAATACTTACTTCAGAAGGTGATACTCTGGTTTACATTGTACATTCCTTTCAATTCGACAGACATTTGGAAAATTCTGCTAACACCTCACAGGGTGTAGGACTGCCTGACCTCTGGGGGCTGACAGAGCTAGGAGTCAGGATGAAGTACTTAACTACGTGTATAACCTTGGGCAGCTTGCTCAGCCTCTCTGCGCCTCAGTTTCCCCATAGTCAAAATGATGGTAATAATACTATGTATCTCAAAAGGGTGCTGTGAGGATTCCATGAGTTTATCGAGTTTATCCATGTCAAGTGATTAGAACAAAGCCTGGCTCATAGTAAGTACTCAATAAATGTTAGCCTTGCTATCATCACTAGTGGAATACGGCACTTTATCAAACTACGAAAGAACCTGGATTATCACCAGGGTGATCGTTAAGTCCTGGTTTGCATGGAGATTTGTGGTTTAGGCCTGTTGTCCCAAAGTAATTATTAATAGCAGTCTGTTTCACTCTCAGAACTGTCCTGATCCAGACAGTAAGTTATATAGTCACTTTCATTATCACTCAAAAGATATGCAAACATAAGATACTTTACAGGAAGGGGGGAGGAGAGAAAGATATCAAAAAAGACTTATTTGTTTTAAGTACCTAAAGAAGTGGGCTATAGCTTTAATTTTGTTGTTTGTTTTTTAAGCTAAGGATACTCTGAAGAGACTGAAAGAAATAAAAAGTCAGTAGAAGAAGAAGGCTTGACCGAGGGAGGAGTCAGACTAACTATGGAGGCCAGCCAGGGCAAGAAGGCAAAAAGACCCTCTTCCAAGAGGAAGAGACCTTCTGAGTCAGGAAGAGGAAACTGAAGCTATTCCCCAACAGAGGACCTCAGTCTTCCCTGAAAGGCCTCTGAGGGGTGGGGTGGGGTGGGGTGGCACAGGGAGCAGACTATGAAACAGCTACAGTGGGTTCAACGAATGGAGGAAGGAACAGGTGGGTGGGGGAAGGATCCAGATGCTTTCAAGAGTTCAGCTGTGGTTGGAGAGTACAAATGTACACAGAATCATCACCTCAGTAATCTGCTTGTCTTCCAGAACATTCAGCAGCCCAGGGGCAGGAATGGAGGAAATAAGAGGACTGGATCGTCACCGGGGTTGACAGTTGGGAAGCGGATCTAACAGAATCCCTGGGCAGTGAGTGGTGGTGAGGATGCCTTGAAAATAACTGCATTTTAGGGTTCAAATACTTCTACATAGGTTTTTTTCAAGAATAAAAGTGGCTTTACAGTGATTCTCTGCCCACAAAAGCATCACTGCCCGTGAGGCTGACTGGCACACTGAGCCAAAGACCAGCACCAGACGGCAGTGGGCTGGGGGAGGGTTGGAGGCTCTTCAAGGAAGAAAGTTCCAAAGAAAATACATGAATAGCAGGGATTTCTTGTACTTTAGCCACCAGAAAACTCAAAGTAGGTTGGGCCATCCGACTTCATAAAGAACAAGCCAAAAAAGCTTCATAAGGGATGAGTGCTCTCCCATTAGGAAACCCATTCCTCTCCCCGCCCTGTACAAATACACACACTGCAAAGCGTGCTTTAAAAAATAGTGACAAGTTCTGGACAGTCAAAACAAATGAACAGTTTTAATAACTTCACTAAGATTTCCAGTGATAACTGTTGTCCCAGCACTTGAAATTCCGTCACAGCTTTTCCAGTTTAATTTTTATTAATCAGCAATATAACTCTCCAATTCTATAAACATATAAAGTCTAGTTTTGTGAGAGGTTAAGTTAAATATCACACTAAATCTTCCATAACATTAACTGGCTAAATATATCTGACATATGCCAAAAGTGCGGCTCTTCCCTACTCTTCTGTCTCAAACCTCTCCCTCAAGTTTTCCCAGGTTAAAACTGTGTAATAGGTATTTTTCCCAAACATACTGCAAACAGTTCAGGCTGAATGAGAAACTGGATAGTCGACAAGAGGCATTTCTTAATTTGCCAATTCAAAGGGCCCCTTTTAGGTGGTGCTGGCACAGGAGAAAGAGTAGGAGATTGGGAGGCCAGGAAGTTAGGACACAAGAACTGGCTCTGTCACTTACCAGTCACAGAACAGTCTTCCCACACATAAAATACCTACTTGGCTGGGCTACTGTATGAATTAAACAAATCAGCATATAAAAATGCCTGGCACACTGTAGGCACTCAATATACGTGGGCAGCCACCCATTCCTTTCTGAAAAATACCCAGTTGGGAATCATCGGATTATCCATTAATGCCAAATGAGTTGATTAGATCAAGTAAGATTCAAACTTTTCCTTACTTTCTTTCATCAACTCAGACTCTGGTTATAACCTAAATTCCAAGGCTTGAAGTCACTTTTAGGATGTTGCATTTTAATTCACTGAGGTTCAACAAACAGAAACTGAGCCCCTACTGTATACAAAGCACCTGCTGGTCATCATGGGGTAGGTAGGGGGAGAATTCAGAGAAAAGGGGAAGACACTGATCTACAACTCTAGCAGGAAAGCCAGGATGCACCAGGTGTTCAAATCTTGGGAAGATGGAAGGCTTCCTGGAGGATGTGGCATTTGAACAGAGCTGTGAAGGACACCTGTGACTTTAAATGCACACACACATACCTGTGTATAAACTCACCCGATGTTGCTCTCTTTCACATAGCATTTTAATTTTTAGACATTTTGTCCCTTCCATTGATAAACAAAAATCATGCAAGAAATTAATTCGATGAGTTAAAAACATGGGTTAGATCTATTCTAAGGAAAATACAGAGAAGAGTGCAGATATATTAAAAATCCTGGTAGGGCACCAACTTCTTACTCTGATAACTTGCAACTAAAAGGGAAGAATGAAGCATTTATCTTGCCTTTCCTTTGATTATATTTGAGGGTAACCAAAGATCTCTAGTTGATGAGGGAAAGCTCTGTTGTACGGAAGAATTTCAGCCAATAAATGTGGAGGGTTGTAGAAAAGTCACTCTACTGTCATCTCTAATGAAATACTGGATCAGGCAAGGATCCTCAATGCATGAAACCATTAGATGATTGATGGGGAACTTGACAATGCAGGTATCAGGATGCCACAGCCTGAACTTACTGAACAATCTTGGCATCCCTAAAACTCGGACATCAAGACATTGTGGGTACCCAGATGTGAGGCAATCTGAAGTTCACTGCAAGGCCTATGGCGCTTTCTTGCCAAAAAGTCTAACCTCAATCTAGTCAAAGCTCTAGGGCCAACTTCCATTTATAGGAAATATGAGGGACAGAGGAATAAACTAAATGACACCACAAGGGCTTCCAGAATGTGGGACAGTCTACAGGACAGCTGACCTGGTTTCTGCAACAAGTCACTGACTTGAAAAGAATGAGAGGCTAGGGAGAGGGGGGTCAGCTCTAGACTAAGACAAGTAATATGTGATCCTGGTTTGTATCCTGATGGGAACACATCATGTAAAATGACACTTGTGAGACAATCAGGGAGATGGGGTTATGGATGGGTATTAGATGATACTGAAGAATTACTGCATATTTTGTTACTTTGATAACAGAATGTAGTTATGTCAGAAAAAACTCTTCTTTTAGATGTGCACTGAAGTACGTAGGGGTGAAATGACATGATGCTTGACATATGCTTTAAAATACCTCAGCAATAAAGAAAAACAGATATTGCTCTATCTATCCAATCAACTAAAAACAATTGTGGCAAAATCTTGAGAAATGTGAATCTGGATAATGAGTGTAAATGGAGGTTCATTCTAATGTTCTCTAGGTTTAATTAAGTTTATGGAGGTTCATTCTAATGTTCTCTAGGTTTAATTAAGTTTAACAATTTTCATTTTTTTAAAAGCTCCTGATGTGGATCTGTGATTCACTTTCATATGTAAATTTCATTTCACACTTAAAGACATGTTTCCTATGACTTTGAATTGATACTCAATTCAGATATTCATTCTTGCAAAAAGCACTTAAATTTGTAAAGTTTTAAGACACATGAATCCCAAAGTCTGCTCCAGGGACCAGAAGCTTCAGCATCACCTGGTTACTTGTTAGAAATGCACGCTCTTGAGCCTCACCCAAGATTCACTGAACCAGAGACTGTGGTGGTGGGACTCAGCAATCTCTGTCTTAACAAGCCCTGCAGATAATTCTGATGCAGGCTAATGTTTGAGAACCACTACTTTAACATACCAGTCTTGGGAGATGCCTATTCCAAAGGACATATTAAAAAGCTTTAGTATTTAGGTGACTTGCTGAAACTTCTTAGGGTATTACATTTTTTGAGAAAACCCAACTTAACAGATATGATTTTATAGCCTTAAAACTTTATAATATTTCTCATGAAGGGGAAAAAATATTTCAACATTGCTGTCCATTATTCCACAATCCTGGCTATTGCAGTTTCATAAAGAATTTACACAGTACTTCGTTTGCAAAACAGTCAGTTGTAATCATGGCACATCTGCCCAGTGTGTGTGTGTTTTGTGTTGTGATAACCCTTCATACAGATGGCAAGCGGGCATTTATGCTCTGCCAACAGGAACTAGATAGAACAGTTTGTCTTTGAGAAGCAGTTGAGCAAGTTAGCTCAGCTGGTTACAGCGTAACATTGGCCCAAGGTCATGGTTCCAATCCCATTTAGATCAGATAGCTTCACTTTATATTATAGCCCTAGCATCTGCCAGCCACCCTATACACAAGTAGAGCTGTTCACTAGGCTAGAGAGAGTGGAGTATTGGAAATCCATGACAATTGAGGACATGAGGAGGACAACTGATTCCAATGGCAGGTCCACAGTATTACTTTCAACAGATCCGGTGCCTCTGACATTAAAAATAAATAAATACAAAGGCTGCCCAACAATGAACAGACCTATTCTCTGTTCAATAGAGTATGGATTTCATCAAGTGATTCATAGGTCATCTGATCATCTGAGCATGTAGAAAGATCTCACTGCCAAAATGCGCTTCCTTGCATCTAGACCAGCGGTTGTCTACATCAGAAGCACCTGAAAGGCTTGTTCAAAACAGATTGGTGGGCCACACCCCCAGCGTTTCTGACTCTGCATATCTAACAAATACTCAGGGGATGCTGATACTGCTGGTCCAGGGACCAAACTCTGAGAATCATTAATCTAGACCCAATTCTGTACCTGAATTCCATCTGATCCATTCCTTTTAATGGTGAGTTCCTTATCAGCAGAGACTCTGCCTTTTCGATACTCAATAAAACTAAGTATTGGGCCCAGAAACCCAATCCATGACACATCAAGAAGATGAGGAAGGAGTAGAGTTGAACTGCAAACATTCTTTAAGCATGCTAAGCTGGGCACTGGACTGGCAGCATGGCCTTGGTCCTATCTTCCAAAAGCTGACACTGTATTTCTGCAGCTCCTTCTCAGAGGAGTTCTAAAGGAGTAACAGAGAAGACCTCGGAGTGTGTGTGTGTGTGTTTTTAGGCCAGCTTTTGCCACAGATGCAAATGGTCACCAGTACTTGAGACTCCTCTCTCCACAGTCCAGCCTTACCTGCCCGCCAAACATAGCTGCCTGCCTGCCTCCCGCCCTCCTTGTTCTAGGATGTCAGTTGTTCACCTGTATGGAAATGACAGCTGCTTGTCACGGTCTACATGAGAGGCCTCACTTGCAGCAGTAACTAGCAGGCCATTTCCAAAGCTGTCATTCTCTGGTGTCAGCACAACCCACTGTTCAAAGATCTGCTCTGACATGAACCAGGCAGCGCCGTGACTGTCATTGCCGCGGACCCCTCTGTGCTCCGACACTGATGGCAGCTGCTCGGCGCCCAGGGTTTGTTTCACCCAATTATTTGTTTGTCACTCGGAAGCCCAGGGTGTCGAGCAGGTACTGTGGAGGTATTTTTGGCCTGATGCACAGGCAGAAAGCATAATGAGGCCCTCAGGTGAGGGTCTATTTTGTCAGTTAGGTGCTAAGATGATGTGCATCGAGAAGCCTGAGTAGCAATTAGGATATTTGAATAAGATAAGATACCTTGGCAGCATGCTGAGGAGGCTCAGTAAGTCAGCCTTAACTTTTAAAATGCCAAAAAACCCTTAGAGTAGGCAGTTTTCAAGTTTGTCCTGGAGCTAATACAGAAGAAGGAGGCGTAACAGCTGTCTTTCCTCAACCCGGAGGGCCCCCAAAAGGAAAGGGCTCACACTAGGCACCAGCCTGACTCGAAGGTTGCTCTGGGGCGGGGGGGGGGGGGGGGGGGTGAGGCCCCAGCCAGACAGGGGGAATGGGGCATTCATGCCAATATCAGTTACGATATTTGGAGGCAAGGCCAGAGTGGCAGTGGAGAGCCATCCTTTACCAGTTATCCCCAAGCTGCCTATTTAAGTCAGGAGTTCCTACTGCCCGCGGGAATAGAAGTCAAATTGATTTGCTGTCTAACATCTTGGGAAGAGGGCATTATACAGGGCAATGTGGCCCCTACAGCCAAGTGCAAAAACAAAACCACAAGATTTAGTTTATAATCTAATATTCAACCAAAGCCCACAGCAGCAGTGCCCGGCTTCTAATCCAGGAATTTGTTTCCAAAATTCTCAGTGTCTCATCAGTGACATCCTTCCTTTCTACAGTTAACAATCTGAGAAAGCAAGGTGGACAGTCCAGACAGACCTAATTCTCCTAAATAACACGATGGATTTGGTAACAATAAAATGAACCCAGCTCCTCCTTAAATCCCTTTGCAATTTTAGTTTGTGCCATCTCTTAGGGAACGCCAAGATACTGAAAGTATTATTTCTTTTTCTTTATTCTAAAACAAACTTTTCTCCCAATAGGTGGGAGTAGGCTGTGAATAAAGCTAAAATCCAGCAAACAGCAAATGTGGTATTGGGAGAAGGAAGTCAATATTATCATCACCTTCCAGCAAAAGCAAAGTAGGAAGTAAGATTGCTCCAGTCAAGAAGGCCTAGATTAACTTTTGAAGAAGCAGAGCTCTGATGAATTGCTTGGTGTACCAGCATCTGCTGACAGCTAAAGATGGATGGTGAGGTGGTAACATTACCTTGATTATCTAGAATGGTCCATCCAAGCCTCATTTCAATTTACTTTGGTAAAATGAGTCACTCCATAGAAAAAGAAGCTTCCTGGTAGCTTGCCCCTGGGGTGCTCTAAGGCAGGGCCTTGCTCTTGGTAAGTAACCCCTGCCCTCCTCCCCCTCCGTCTAATCTGTGGCAATCCCTGCCAAGAAATGGTCAGTCATTCCATTTGAGAAGTCAAGTACAAAGGAACCCGGCACCTAAGTTCTTCATACAGTAGGGTTTTGTAAACATTTTCTAAGCAGATAAAACATCTCTTTTAACACCACTCGAGATGCAGACCAGCAGAGAAGGAGGATTCTGCATTGTTTCTTATTCTGGAGGTTAATACCTAACAGCTGGTACTGAAATTGTAGCCAACTCCCTCTGGCCTGGCTCCTCTTGCCCCTGAGGCTCAACCTCCTCTTACCTCCAGGATCTTTCTCATTGAAATGAAATCTCCTGCAGAGGAGAGAGGTTTATACAGCCCTATTCTTGCTCACAAGTTCAGGACTGAAGTCATGCGACTGGCTGCAAAGCACCACTTCCTTCAAATGCAAGTATTCACAGCTATGCAGGAAAAATGTATGCCCTTTGCAAAAGCTTCAGACTCTGAAAGGACCTAGAACACTCCAAAAGCAAACTTTGGCCTTTAGACCTAGATGGGATCTTGGAGTCCATCCAATGTTACCAGTGAGAAAACCAAGTTAGATGGAGTGATTTGCTTATGGTTACAAGTAGCTCTGCTCAGACTTGAGCCTGGACCCTCTATTACTAAAAGTAGTGCTTACTGTAGTACATCCCATCACCTCCTGGTAATATGCCGATCTGGCAAAAATTTAAGCAACAATGGTGCCGGTGTGGTGGCGTAGTAATTTAAGTTCGCATGCTGTGCTTTGGTAGCCCAGGGTTCGCAGGTTTGGATCCTGGGCGTGGACCTACACACCACTCATCAAGCCATGCTGTGGCGGCGTCCCACATACAAAATAGAGGAAGACTGGCACAGACGTTAGCTCAGCAACAATCTTCCTCAAGCGAAAAAAAAGAGGAAGATTGGCAATAGATGTTAGCTCAGGGCCAGTCTTCCTCACCAAAAACAAAAACAAACAAAAAAATTTAAGCAACAAAATGTAATTGAGGAAACATGAAAAAAAGAGGCCCTATTGACAGGTGATACACAGAACTTTACAATGCTCCTCCAAATCTTTGCAATAGCTTAATTAATTTAACAAAAGCATTGATTTTTAAAATGGCAAATCTGTGCCCACAGAATACCCTCCCTGAAAGGGCGACATCTTCTGCAGTCTACTGAGGGTTGATCTACTTCTGGGTTGCTGACCCTTCAGCTCACCTTATATCAGCTTTTCCTCCTAAGAAGGTCTTAAGGCTATTTTTTTTTTTTTTAATTAGTGAGTGGCTTCTTTCCCACTACACCATTTAAACAGGTTTTCAAATTTTAAAATATGTTTAAACTCTTATTATTCTGGTCATGTTTCATGTAATCTGTTCACTGCTATATCTCCCGAGCCTGTTACATAGTCAGTGCTCAATAATACTTGTTGAATGAAACAATTTCAGTATGGCTTCCACTTTAAGCCAATTGATGGAATAAATGGAATACACTGATGTCATTTATTTCACAGCTGACGAATCCAGTTTCAGAAGAGGACTCCTTGTCAAACTCAAGTTTACGGATAAAGAAGCCTTAAGAGATCAGCCCAAGAAGTCCAGCAGAGGACAGTCTACACTTGGAAAATCAAAAATTGATGTAAAATAAGATGAATTACATGGTTGGGCTTTCGGCAAGAGGAGCTTTGTATGGAAAAGCCTTTCCTAGCTATAAACAGATAATGAGAAAATGATGTAATCTTGACTAAAATTAGGTTTTAGTGTTACTCTACTGAGAGATGTGAAAGGTGATAGATAAGAGGGGGAAAATGTTTTCCAAGTGGCTTTTAAAGGCATCCAAATATAACCACCTCCCACATCAGTCTATTAACAGGCACACTTGAGACAGTTCCCTCTTCAAAAGGACTCTTAGAAAAAGCAATGATGTGCTCTCAACCTCCTCCTTTATAAGACAAGGTTTACGAGGGTCAGAGGAGATCTGAGCGCCCACAGAACACTCCTCCTTATTAACAGAGGCCCTCCCGCCTCAGCACAGATTTGGGCCTCGTGCTTATGTCATTGGTTGCTGGGGAAATGCAAATGCCCCTGCTTGAAAATCCTAAATCACTTCTAATAAAATCTGGCTAAAAGTAAAGATCAGTCCACTTACAAGCACAGGAATGAACATGAGAGTAGAAATATGGAGAAACATGGTATTATTAGAAGGTGAGGAAACCTGAGATGACTACAGTGAGCCCAGCTGTGATGCAGTAACCATGATGATTTTGGCCACACCTGCTCAGATACTGGTGGACATCCTGGGATGCCAGGAAGTCCTGGGTGAGACCCTCCACCATCAAGGGAAAGTTTCTACCAACCTCCGGGGAACATAAAATATCTTGGGATGGTGTGGTGGAAAAAGCCCCAGGGACTTGGCCTGGCCAATGATATGGCTAGAAATGCCACATCCACAGCCATCTGAAACTTTAAGAGGCATTCCACGTTCTGCCTCTACTCTTTTCCCTCTAGCAAGATAACTACCACGGTGGGGGCTGCTCCTTCAGCCTGGGTCCCAGAATAAGGACAAGGAGAGCTGCAGCTGCTCCACAGTGACACTGACTATGAGACCTCTGATGGTCTAAGCCTCTGCAGCATATCGTGCAAAAGCAGATGAACAGAGACCCTATTAACTGATGTTGGAGGGTAAAAACATCTCTCAAGAACCAGCCATGATAGTCCACCACTTGTTGTACTGCTATGTACTGGTAAAAGGTCTACAACAGAAAAACACATGGGACATGGTGGCTCTTCACTCTAAGCTATACCAGTGGCAGAATATTTATTTTTCAACTCTTGGATTCAGTTAATGCTGAGAGGCTTGTTCAAATGGACAATTCTGCACATAACACCCCCAGAGACCTAACAGAGCACCCCACAAAGGATTGGCGCCTTCCACTCCTATCTACAGGCTTCAAGAGTTGGTAAGAAATCATTTCTAGGAGGGGAACCAGAGGCACAGCAACTTATGGCCGGCTTCCCAATGGATGTAAAATGAACCTCCAAATACCAATTTATGGGCCACCTTACATAACCAGGCCTTAGAATGCACTCTCCCAGTAAGTTCAGGCAAGCTCAGCCAACTGACGGAAGTCAGGGCTATGGAGTGGGAACGGGGTATAGCAGAGTGGTAGAGAACCTCTGAATTCAAGCCTAGAATCTCTGGTGAATTCACGAAGTGGGTCTTCAATGGAGAGCCATTTCCACGTTTTTAAAGCATAGACTGGGCAAGTAGGTAAAATACTTCGATGGCTGCCCCAGGCTAAATCAAAGACAGCCGAGCAAAAGTTCAGGCACCATGAAATTAATAAAATCACTGTTGCACTCACTCCACCACAGGGTCAGAAATAAACCGGTAAAAAGCCGGAATGCATGGAGATTACTTGAGTGGGAACCAATCATTTCTCCACTGAAGTTTTTTGACATTTTCTTATACAGCATATTCACCGGCTTCATAATTCACCAAAGTTGCTTCCTGAGACTGAGCATTGCTGGGCTTTCTGAGTAACTGAGACACATTTTGTTTGTTAAATAAATTCCAGGCAAGAGTATATTTGACTTATGCACAGGAGAGGAAAGAATTCTTATGTAAGCTGCAAAACAATGGAGTTTTATCTTATCTGAGGAACTTACTGCCGCTTGCCTGTGTGTGTTTTACTGCCAAAATAAAATAAATTGAATCAGCTCACACATGATAACATGCTCTTTCCTAACTCATACTAATTGCTTGGCTAATTGATGTTTGTTGAACTTTCTCCATTTCATTGAGTGATTAGGTACAAAGCTAACAGTTGACATCTGTAGGCGCTTAACTGGCGTCTGTAATTACTGTTAATGTTAAATAATTGTTAGTTAATTGGAGTGGTAACTGACTGAATGGAATCCAGATTGTGAAGCAAAAAGAAACGTAGTTAAATAAACATACATTTTCAAAGAAAACAACATTTTTCTGCAGTTGTCAGAAACTAGAAATAATCCAGAGGCCATGGGATAGCCACAGGCTTCCTCCATGCAGGAAACTCTCCACATCTGGGGTTGACCCCACGTACTTGAAAGTGTTGGGAGAGAGGAGGCCCTTTGTCATCGAACTGTTCTCATTAAAGACTCTCCAGAACTCATGTGATGTTTTTTATTCCAACTGTCTACTATGAGTGTGTATTACTTTCTGAGACAACCAAATACTACATCACTGGCTAAACAAAACACTAATGAATGGCTTGAAGAGAGAGGCTGGTCAACATTCGAGCTTTTTTGTCAATATTGCCAAGTACGGAGAAAATTCTTTCGGAGAACAGCAACAATCATTCAATAAAGTAAGCGAAGAGCTTTTTAGTGGGCTCAAACGTAAACAGACTGGTGTTAGATCATCTGACTGAAAGAAAGGAATCTGTTACACAGTAATCTGCTCAGCTCACAAGGGCACTCAGGAGCTGGAGACCTGGCCTACGTTGTCTGGAAAAGTGGCATCGCTGTCAGCATTCTACTCCAAAGACACCATCAAGAGCAATTGGAATGCTCAAAATATCTTCCAGCCCCTTTAGTAAAACTCCAGTGATGGGATCCACTATTACACCCAGGATGTCCCCACCATACTCATCCACAAGGTCAGGGAAAGACCAGGTAGCAGTTGATGGAAAAATATCCAGAGGGAAACACTTTCTCACAATATGGAATATTTTTAGTTCCTTAGGACAAGGCATCTGTTTCCAAGAATTCTCAAGGAATAATTCTATACCACAAATTCTGTATGTAAGAGTCTGGCTTCTATAGGAAGGTCAATTTCCATAACAAAAGGAGCTGATTGCATGCTATTTGCAGTGTGGGTGGGAGGAACCCAGCTACTCATAACTCCTTTGTCTTGCATCAAGCACCAATTACTCTTCAATAGTATTTAATTTTCCACACATCAGACATCACTATCTCCTAAAGACCCAAGAAAATGCTCTGAGACAGTACAAAAAAAGTCCAGAGAAAGAAAAATAAAGAATGAGTGATAGTCCAAGATTCCCTTATCTAGGATTTAAGACATTACAAAAATGCAACCAATTTAGAGGCTGAAATTGGCTCAGTTTACTCTTCTGCACATCGGGAATGTGCTTTACGTCATGTCCTCCTTACAACTAAACCTAAGACACTACAGGGAATTGCAAAATGGTCTCCATATGTTCATTATAATTGGATTTTAAACTCTAAATCAATTTTTTTTTTTAAAGAAAGCTACCCCACAGTCAACTGCATTATTTTTATTTACATAAGAAGAACAGAATTACTTGAGGGAAGGGGCTTTTCTTAAAAGCCAATGGTAGCCTTGGTGGTAATGTAACTCTCACCTTTTTTTCATCAAACCCAGGAATGCCGCCTTCATGTCTAAGCCTAATGAATGAGGTGAGATGGCTGCCATTAAAGAATCTATTAGGTATGGAACTACTGAACCTCATCACACCAGTCAGTATCTCTAGTAACTTGTTTCTCACCTCATCTCCCCAAATCTCAACCAATTTTTTAAGCCAGGTTTTCCTTCTAGGCTGCTGATAAAACCACACTGTCAAAAATACCCAAAGGGCCCAGTAACCTAAGGGCTCCACCCTCATCTGTGTCTCATGGAAATCCTCAGTACAAAACCAACCCCAAGAAGAGGTCGGGTGTGTCCACTAGCAGGCCTGGTGGGGCCTGGAAAAGGAAAGACAGTCCTGGTCAGAGAGAGCTCAAGATGGCCCCAGCGCTCCACCTGGTGCTCATCTTGGTAAATGAGTGTGTACCAAAATTCCCCACAGCTAACCTGGGGAGGGGAGGTGGGGTTCCACCTAGGAGGGTGGGGGGGGTTGGTCCTTTGATGTTCACATTTCAGTAGATGCATGGTGCTCACAGCAGGAGGGAGCATACACCAGGGACCTCCTCCTACCTGGATTATTCCCCACTCAGCACTTCAGAGATGCCCGCTCAGCTAGGCCCAGTTCTGTAACAGCCAGCTGCGGAGGCCTTTGCCCAGGAGGGCCCAACACTACAATGTGAGACAAAGGCAAAGGAAAGAGAAGGGGTGAGCAACACACCTGCCCCCCTCTCATCTATAACTGGCCTTGGATGCAAGATAGATCCTGGGAAAGAGGGCTCCGAGGCAAGAAGGTGCAGCAATTCAAGGCCTTTTCTCTTCCCTTAACCTAGACCGTGGGCCCATACCAGGGCTGGTAGCATGTAAACACAGGGCTCCAGAGAACACCTGACAATGGTTCTCCTTCCTTCCAGACAGGGCTTCCCTTCTTTTCTTTCCTCCTCAGGGAGCTCTGCCCTGGAGCAATTTCAGAGTTTAAACAAGATTAAACTATCCTGGCAGGATGGTCAGGTACAGCAAAGGACTCCTTTTCTGCATTTCTGTCTATATATCAAAGTGGCAAAACCACCAAGAAGCAGGACCTAGAATAGGTAAGAAAGGGTAATAAATACTAGCTGGCCATAGTGAATCGGCCAGAGAGTTCCTTTTAAAGAGAAATACTCCAGAATTTGGGATATAAATCCTGTTGCCCCTATAGCAGTTCAACCAACTAAATACGGACAATAAGTTAGTCTCTCTCTCTGTCTCTGTCTCACTGGGAAAATTAATTTTTCTTTGGCAGATGGTTGAGTCACAAAGACAGAAGGATTCATAAAATTCACATGAACATCCTGTAAACATTTAAACACATAAAGATTAAATAAGGCAACCATGACCTTGATTAAAGTTAAACTATTTTTTTTATGTCTACAACCCTAAGCCCTGCCATTTGGAGACTCATCTCCCCACCTCTTTTGACACGCTTGGTTCTCACTGGGCACGTCATGTGTACATATGAGCATGCACTGTTTGATTAATTTGTTTTAAAATGGGAAATAAAAAGCATCAGAAGAAAACAATGATTTGGAACACCTAAACACAAAAATCTTACCCGTTCTCTATAAAATTGGATGGACTGTACAACACAGAGAAAGTCGAAATAAAATCAATGGGCAGAAGTGATATAAAGCATATTCACTGTACCTGCTGTTTCAGCCCCTCCCACCTTCTCAACTAATTGTTTTATTCCCACCAGAGATGTCAGCCAGGACTAGGAGGTCTGGCTATGATTGAAAATTCTGACCTAAAGAGGCTAAATGACTGATTCAAGCTCACAAACAGACTGATGGGACTTGAGCCACGACCCCTGCTGCTTCAGCCTGGAGCTTCATCCCTGGACTGCAGAGCCCAACATCAAAGCTGAGCCCCCCAAACCCCTACCACAATCAGCTTGTGAGATTAGCACTGCCCTCCCACGGTGAAATTTTATGGGCCAAATCTGCCCGCCACCAGGCTCAGCAGCATAATCTCACCAGCAGCTTAAAGCCACGCTTCAAGGCCAGAACACCAGGGGACTCCTGAGAGGGAGAGGTGATACGGGGCTTTAAACATCTGGAGGCGGAGGAATACACGTGTCAGCTTCCCTGCACTCTTGTTAGACTGTTCAATTAGCTGAGGCTTTGAAGATTTTCCCAGTAGTGTTTGTTACCTGGTATAAATTTGCCCTTTCTCACAATGCTTTTTATCGCTCCTGGCTAAGAATACTGGACAGAGACGGGAGACCTGACTTGCAGGAAGGCAGGCCGCTCTGCAGGACAACTTGAACTTGATGTGCATGAAGCTGACAGTTCCTTGAAGGCCCTGTCAACCATGTGTCCAGTAAACACTGCCACCACCCAGAGTAAAAACAGACCAGGACCCACAGGCACATATCCAGACTCTCTGCACCTGTCTTGAAGCAATTATTGACATTATCACCGTACAATGACTCTCTTTTTGAAGTTGTTTTCCTGAATTTAGCAGTTTGAATACTAATCCCCTTAACAAAACTGTCCCCCTGCTTTCCCCCTCCCCTGGTCCCCTTAATCTCTTTCCCTGGAGGGAGGAGGGCGGGTGCTGGATACCACTCAGTCTACTTTGCAGCACCTGGATTTGCACTGATTCCGTCTCTTGTCATTCATGTTACCAACAGGAATTAGCATAAGGCATTAAGGGGGAACGCTGGAGGAGAAAAGAAAGGCCATTTTGATGGAAATAGGGGCAAAGGAATAATCTGCCATCAACTAAAATGCTTATTTGTGTATGGTTTCCCAAGCAAAGCTTAGAAAAAGCCTATGTTGATTTTAGTGTACACAAAGAAACCTTAATCCTTTCAAGGCAACTAAATCACTCCCAGAAAAGCAGCTCAGAAGAAAGGCACCCTGTCAGGGGGATGACTATTCACAACCAAATAGATGCCACAAATCACGCTCTGTAAGTAAACAAAAATAAGAATGTGGGGAACATTTGACTGGAAAAAGGAAAGGGGGGCAGAAGCAGGAGGGAGGAGGCAGAGGGGCGCTACTTGTCATCAGTCACTCTTCACCTGCCCTGAGGAGGGCCCTTCAGCCTGGCCAGGGCAGTAGGTCCCATGGAGGGGAAATACATTCCACAGCTTTTTACAGCAAACTAGCAAAAGGGAGACACAGTCACATGGGGCTGGAGGTCCAGAGGAGGGCTGGGTGGGTTGTCACTGAAACACAGAACACCTCCTTTTGATGATCTGTCCCACCTCAGTCTCTTCCAACCCTCTTTTCTCACATGGATACGTCACTGTCTACCACTCCTCTTCCCTCATCAAAATGAGCAATAAACAATTATGCATTTTTACTTATGAGCACTGTATGCTAGATTTCGAAATGCACATATCTTCTTTTATTGGGCCTTTAGCATTATGGATAACAAATTTATATCAACTTTCAGTCCATCAAAAAATATGACGAAATATAAAACTTGAATACTCTATTATGCAATAAAAAAAGATAAAATTCAATATGACAATAATTCTGGGACAATAATTCTGCTTATGTACATAAGCATATACACCTCAAGGGAACTCTAAACATAATGTACTATTTAAAATTGCAGTTGGTTCAAATTCTAAAATAATCTGGGAGCTCAAAATAACTGCACTTGGAAACGTGTCTTACCAACCAGCTAGCAAAAATGCTAGCCAAGGCAACTAGAGAATGCTCTAGTGGTTTCAAATTTCACTTTATGAAGGCCCAACTCTGTTCAAGCACTACGAGTATCTTCCATGGAACACAGAATGAGATTACCACAGAACGCACACTTTCTTCTTTTAGCAATTATCAGGCAAGCACCTAAATCAGGTTCTATAATGGAGAGGAAAAGATCAAATAGTTCATATAATTTATACCCATCCAATTATACACCTTTGCAAAGCCCATGGTAGAGACTTCTTTAAATTTCATTATTTCCAACAATACTGCTACAAACGAAAATTGCCCAGAAACCTATTGGCAATGATTTAAGATAGAGCAAGTTTTCCCTTAACGTACTGCACTATCATTAGCCTCTCTTACTCCACATTGCAGGTTGGAAGAAATTAACGGAACAGCACATATTTAAATTTTGCCCTCGTTTATTAACTTCACAGAAAGCCCACAGCAGAGTAAGGCTTGGTTTATGACCATAATACTGTGAATACTAAACATCCACTGATTATTAGTCTGCAGTACAAATCAGCTATTTATAGTCCTCCGACTGCTGGGTAGTTGATAAGTAACAATAAACTGAAGGCATTTTGAGAACTATTATTCTCCATTACCGCTACCTACATTAAATTAAAGTCATATAGATAGTAGTGATTTCTCAGTCAAATTCATTTAAATAAGGATTCAATGTATTCTTTTAAAATAAACTGTTCTTTAATGCATCACAAAAGCAAACAGTTTCTTTCTCCAGACAAAACACAAAACACGAACACTAGCTCCAGAACGAAAAGAGAAAGACCGTGGTTTTTAGTTCCATCTTTCCAGGCAATGACAATGAAACAAACATAAAAATAAGCCATTGCTCAGAATTAAGGAGTCTTACCTTTGTTTACAATAACAGTATTGAAGAGTTTTTCAGAGCTGGCATCTGATGCCTGAAAAACAAGAAGGGGAAAAAACTGTTATTGTCATTAATATTGTCGTCACCATCATCATTACTATTATTTTCAATCACTTTGCTACATTTTAGAAAAGCCAGACAGGGAAAGTAGCAATTTTCCCCAATCCTCCATCAGGTGGTGCTAGTTGACTGCATGAGACAGACCTGCAGTGCAGCTATTTGCTGGGGGAAAAAATCTGATTTTAAAAATGTGTCCTTATTAGACATATTATCGGTGCAAAACATATTTCTATGAGATGATACACAAAGCAATTCAGCTCACTCACATAATGATTTTGCAATTTCGTTGACAGAACATTATTTTGGAAATGGTACTTTTTTCATGATATTTGCAAACATGCCTATTTTTCAATTTTCTTTCACAATTCAGAAATGCCTATTGTTTAACACTAAGCTTTTCATCACTGAAAAGTGTCAACCCCAGAACTCCCAGAAATTAATTTTTAAAGACTCTCTGGTGACCTCTAAGATCCCTGTCCCTTATAGTAACCAGGACCACCTTGGCGTCGAAAGGAAGCCTACCTGCCCAAAAAACCCAACACTATACACGCCATCAGCATTATTTCCTTTCCATTTTCCAGAGATCATGTCTGCTAATAATTACAGTGGCTTGAGGAAAGTGAAATAAGCCTGTTTAAACAGCAAGAGTAAAGCCAATTTAAATTATACACTAATGTTCTGGAAAATAAACATCAAGTCAGTTTAGAGGAAAATGCTGTAATGTTTCAGAAGCACTGAATGGTGATTTCTGGAACTGGAAAAATTAAAAAATTAAGAATTAAGCACCCTACTATATAATTTGAGGATGTATTTGCATTTAAAGTTATAATAGCAATGTTACATTTATAGTTTTTGCTATGAAATCCTTGTAAGAAATCACTTATCCTTCACACCTTATACATAGAGATGCGTGTTTTGACAAAGCAAAACACAGAATGTTGAATAAATACAGAAGAAAGAAATGTAAGAAATAGAGGGAGGGGGAATCTGAAGTACAGCACATTCTGACTCTGGTTGGCTTTTGGGGACCAAGAAGATATTCAATTTAGTCTTTCCATGTTATGTTGATGAAAATGAGATACTCCGGTGTATTGAGATATTCCTGTGTATAGCATTCCTGTGTATAGCTGGGGAACATGTTCTAGTTCTCAACGCAAGTGCTGTAGAAGGACATTAAATATTTTTATTATGACTATTTTTCCCTTTAATTCTAATTTTCCAACTGTGGAGGTGGTTCAGAAGATTAATAAATCAAGAAAAAAAGGAATGTATGTGTAAAACAAGTGTGGAACTGCATACGTTTATACAAAAACATTTTAAAATAAATCCTAGATAGAGCTTTCCTTTTATTTTGCTTGCACAGAAAACACATTGAGGGCTTTCCTGACATGTTAAAAATAATTAAATAAAATTTCATATTATAGTAGCTTTTTATACAAATAAATTGCCAAAAAAGAGTTGCATGGAGGGGGAAACAAGATATGTATTAAACAGATCAAGAATATTGTTACAAAATCAAAAATTACAGGAATAGTGATGTTACATTGTAATACGAAGTGACATTTCTAGGAATATGTGTTGCCTAGCTAAAAACTTAGGGATATGAGTATTTCACCATTCTTCAATGAAAAAGTATCTCTTACTTCAAATTGGAACGGCTATGTTAAATTCATAGCTTAAAAAATAAACTGCAGCTGATAGTTTTAAAAGAAAAAAACAAAACCCTGTTAATTACATCATTTTACCAAACTAAAATAACCCTCGCAGATTTTGGGATTACCTATTAAAACAAGTCTAATTGGCCCAAAGAAATACAAAAACAAATTACTGCATCCCAAATGCAAAAAGCATGGGTGAGGAGAGAAAATGGTTCCTGACTGAGTTTTTATTTGCACTTGGGGTGTGTGTACGTGTGTGTGTGTTGTGAGCATGTGTATGAGAGAGGGAGATCGAATAGGACAGAGCTGTAGGTCAATAGGCCCTGCGGTTGTCTTTCACACCCTCCCTGGGGTTGCCACCTTTGTCAGTTCCACTGGGCTACACACCATATTCTCAAGTAGCTGGTTAAGGGATCCTCATGTCTGAAGAAAACTTAGAGGATGTGATTATTATGATGCCAACCAGTAAGTTACTAAGGAAATAAGTCTGACAGGATATTCAGAGAGACTTAGGAGTATGTCTTCTAATAAAACCTTTAATTATTTAATTAAAAGCTCTTCAATTTTCTGAGACATGCCACAAAGCCTGAAATGACACCTCTTGCAACTGGGGAAGGGGACATCTCCAAAAAGCCTCCAAAGAAAAACACCCAAAAGAAAATGATTGCAGTGGGATTCTGACTTATCATAAAATGATTCTAGATCCCTTCTTTCTTCCATCCAGGTGGTTAAGACTGTGGTGGACCACTGCCCTGAAAAGTCCGAAAAGAGCTTCTTAGCCAAAGTCTTATGTGGAATCTACAAGAAAATTCTTTGCTTTTACTCCATAAACTTTCCAAATTCTACCCAAGCTTTGACAGAATTTGTGCAAATTTTGGCTCCTTGGTTCTTAATTTTGGGGACGTTTTCTTTTCCATTGTTTTTAGATAAAAGCCTTAATTCCTTATATTACCTGGACCATTTTCCTGGCTCGGTTTTTCTTTTTTATCAGGAAGCGCTAATGGAAACGTGGTGAGCCGAATTAGCAGGCGAGCGGAGCTTTCCCTTCACTCCTTCACTCGCTAAGGACCTTCAGATTTTGCTCGCCATTTCGTTTCACCCCCCTTGCTCGGTTCTGGAGGGTGAGGGAGTGAAGTGGCTACATCTAAAATAGAAAAACAAAGCTGTCTTTGGGCTGCCTTTTATTTGGGGGAGGTGGAAGCAGATTTTTTCAATACTAAAAAATTACTTGACGCTGTAGTTGGTGTTGAAAAAAAGTTAAATTAGTCAGAGAGACTGGAGAAAGGAACACGGAGAACGAGGAAAACGAATAAAAGCCTTCCGTGCAGACGGGGGTGGGAGGCGGCCACTCCTGTTCGAGTCCACCTTAATCCGCTTCGGCCGCAGACCCCGGGGACGGCCCTCCGCACCCGCAGGGAGAAGAGCTTTCAATAAGAAAAGAGAAACCTCATCGAAACTTCAGCGCGAGTTCTTCCACCACTGCCGCCGATCCCGAGCCCAGATCTCCTTGGGCTTCCCTTGGCACCGCGTGCGGGCCAGGATCTCGACCTCGGCGCGGGGCAGAGCTACCCGGACACCGGGCAGCGAGCGCAGCGCCCAGGTTTCCAGCCCAAGCGGGCGCAGGCCCCGGCCCCGAGTCAGACGGAGCCCCTCGGGGCGGGGAGCGGTCGAAGCGGCTCCGGCCCCCAGGCCCTTCCGCGCACGACCGCGCAGCCCCGGCCGCCCGCGCAGCCGCTCCCCGACCGAACCCGGCCGGCCAAGGGAGGAAAGTACAAAGGCGGGCGGCCGGGCCGCGTAGAGAGGGAGGAAGGACAGGAGGGAGGAGGGGTGACGAAGGGGGGCTCAGGCGCGCCAGAAGCGAGGAGCCCGCCCCTGCCACCCCTGCCCGCCGTCCCGGCCGCCGCAACAAAAGACCCCCGACCCGGCCGCCTCCCTTCTGACCGCGGGCGGAGAGCGAGGGAGCCGCGCCCCCAGGGCTGCATTACCTGGTCGCAAAGGGTTAAGCGGTCCTGTCAGCCCCAAGTTCATGGTTTGGTTCCTTAGCAGGGCTCACGATGGGGGATCGTCAGAGACCAGGGGAAAAACCAGCCAAACCCACGAAGAGAAAACGCCCAACTCCGACCAGGCTCCGTCCGCAAGTCTCTCCTTTCCTTGCGAAAGTCCGAAAGCGGATGCACGCGAACCCAATCCGGACGAGAGAAGAGCGGCAGCTTCGGGGCGGCCGAGAGCCAGCGCCGCGCACACATCCAGCGCCGCCGAGGCCGGGCGGGCGGCGGGAGGGAGC